ACACAGACGGCCTTAACGCGTTATTATAGTAGGATGCTGAAGGAAACTCGAAATATAATCATACAGGCTAGATTTATTGCCAGCATTACGGTAATCTAACGGGGAGAAGTTTTTGGCAAACACGTCCGCTTATTGTTCCACTCCTAAGGCACTTGATTTATACGTGAGTAAAAAGCAGTCACGTCAACATTTTTCATGCACTTAGGTTTGAGCTACTCCTGTTATCGTTATTGTCCAAATTATTCAATTCTGGTTCTTCTTGAGACAAGGAAGCTGTATCGAACCACCTTTATGTGCCTAGGTAAAACGATTCATGATAAACCAAAAAAGCGACTATAGTCAATTTTGTGTCATCCATCGTAAACTTCTCGCTGTACAACGTGCACTGATAAACAAGCATGTAAGCTTCATGAATAAATATATGAATATTGATAACAATCAACAAATTACCAATATACATTGGATCACCGTTTGTACAGGCCCGCAATATATATACAAGTCACCGAAACAACGTATGATGTACTTGTGTCAATTATTCTACCATTCTAAAATTGATGGGTAGATCTATTATACTAGAAAATAGTGATTTTTGTGCTTTCAAATATTCAAATAGCCATCTATATACATTAGCAGACGATTGCAGCAAGTATATACACAAACAAGATTAAGTACATCAACTTCCGACCGAGCGTCGCAAGACAATTAGTGCCCATCACCAAGAATTTTGTTCTGATGCTTGATCAGATCGTGGAATCTTGGATCCTGGAAAAATTATAAGCATAAGTTGTAGCTTTCGAAACGAGTAAGAGAGGGAATTATAGAGTTTTCCTACCTCAGTGACTGACGCTCTTCTTCCTTCCGGAAGGGAACTTTGTATGTTGGTTTGTCCCCAGCTGAATGTTGTTGGGGAGCCGAAGATCATTTCGGAAAGACTAATTCGACGGGGACGGGGAACGTCGATAGGAGCGGTTCTAGAGAAAATGATTGAGAAACACTAATTCACTATGTCTGATATAACTGTTACCTGATATGGGCCTCCGACGACCTTCTGAGTCCCTCAGAATCGCTGGATTCGACGGAGCAAGTACGCTGCGGCTGAACGCGTCTTGGCTTCCAAAGCGAATCAGTGTCATAATCAGCACGAATCTATAACAAAAAATTTATGGAAACTTATTTGAAGATGTCCAAAAATTTTATATATACCGTATCCTCTGAATGTGCTGGTACAACTGGTCTGAACGTTATGTTAGAATTTCCAACCAATTCACTCACAGTTGGTGGTCTCGACATCCTGCAAAGACGAAAACTGTGATACTGGGGTATCTCAGTGGGTTAGTTGAGCAGAATTATGCGTATTTATAGTTTCACACGCCCCTTTCGCTCCTGCACACTCCTCAAACAAACAATCTCTTGCTAATGGTGTGCTGCCGTAAACAAGCGCTTCGTGAATGCAAGTGGAGAAAGAGGAGGATTGATCACGTTTTTGAGCATGTGCCATGCTATTTTTATCTCGGGGGAAGAGATGCAAAAATGTGAGACAACACCTCTTTATGGGCTAAGCTCTAGGAGTCGGATAACAAACATGCTTTTCAAAATTTCGAAGGTATAACAAGTACAAGTCATGCCCGAAGTAGCCACTAAACCTCCTTGAAGTAAAAGCACAATGCGTAATTTGTGCCTAGAGTGAAACATGCAAGAAGTGTGTCAATTGTGAAAGAATTTCTAGTTTAATCTCGTATACTCAAAAAAGTCACGTTAGTGACAATTTGGGCGGCCTTCAGTCCACCTGAGCTTTGCCAAACGATTGTCTTTCATTTTATATACGAAT